TCCCGGATATCACGCTGCTGCTTCTCAAGCTTCTCTGTGATTCTGGCCTCGCGAACCGTCATCTTCTTTGTGCGGCGGTATCCGGAGCGGTTGGTCGTCATTGCAAGGTTGTCATAGAACATCATCGAGCGACCAATCTTATCTCGCAGCGCCTTTTGCTTCGCGTACAAGCCGAGGCTCTTCATCTCAATGATCGCCTTGACCTTTGCACTATCATCCAGTTCAACATCGTCCTTGGTGGTATCCCAGTGAGCAATATTTGCTGGGGTGTTTCTGAGCTCGGCAAACCGATCTCTCATGCGGTTGAACACAATCAGCTCCCTCTCGTACCGCAGCTGGTCGAAGTCGACACCAGTGGGGAACAATCCCGGGATAAGCTTGCGATTTTTCCGTTGAGTATGGTCGAAATGGCTAATCGACTTGCGAATCAGGTTGTTATCGCCGTAAGGGGACCTGACGGTCTTGAAGGTGGGCCCTTGGACCTCTGGAGTAGATTCAGACTTGGCTTCAGACCCATTGATGCCGGGCTGTGCAGAGTCCCGACTAGTGGTTGCGGGTGTTGATGAAGCTGCCAGCGCGGCAGCCTCGGCGGCGATGGCTTTCCTGCGCTCTCGCTGAGCAAAGATGGCTTGCTGCATCTGTAGAGGAACTCCAGCATTCTTGGTCAACAGCTTGAAGGCGTGGATCTGTTGTCTAAGCAAGCTCAATTGTTGCGGGTTGAACTGGCCAGCACCTGGGCCGCTGGAAGGAGCAGCTGTCGAGGGGGATCCAGCGGCAGCGGCAGCATTTGAGTTGGCTGCAGGAAGCGCCGAGGCGCTGAGCGCGCTTGATGTAGGAGGTTGTGTCGACTGGGGATGCTGCTGGGCGGGCTGCGAGCCATTGACAGCGCCATTGGGACCACCAGCCTGCTGCATCTGTCGCTGCTGTTGCATCTGTTGTTGTTGCTGCTGATGCTGGAGGAATTGTTGTTGCTTCTGTCGCATACGCGCTTGTTGTTGGAAGGACAAGACGAACTGCTCGGCCTTGATATATTCGGGATCGGTGTTGGGGACGCCGCTCTCTCTCATCTGCTTGAATTTCTTTGGTGTGTTAGCATCGTAAGATCGCATCGAATTTTGGCATATCATCGGAGCATGTGAGGGATGCGGTCATTATGAAGAATAGGCTCTTACATTGAAAATCTCTTGAGCCTGTTGAGGAGTGGTGGTCGCCATGCCGGCGCCAGGGAGCTGGACGGCAGGCGCAGCCTGTACTGAAGCCATGGTGGGCGATGTGTGTATTCCAGCAAATCTAACGACTGCGGGAATCTCTAGAGATGCGACGACAATCTCGCGCGCATTATCATGCAAAGGCGTTGTAGGTGTAGACAAGTGGAGCCTTATTGAAGGTTTGTCGCGCTTGGCTCGTCGCGAAATGAGAGACTAGAAGGCTATTGGTGATAAGGACGGGAAATGCAGCGCGTCGGTATCGAAAACACAAGGTTTGGGGATGGCGATGTGGTTCGGAGACGGCAAGGTTGATGCCGTGGTCGGAACGGAAACACGTCGGTCGCGTAGAATCGAATTCACCGAGATGGCGGATGGAGTTCAGCGGCAGAGACGATGGATGGGGGACGCGAATGCGGTGCCGCGAAGCGTGGGGGGGAAATGGGTGGAAGGGTGAACAGGACGTGATGCGAAAAAAAACGGGAGTTGGTCGGAAGGGCGCGGCGTCGGGGCGTTGCCTCGAGCAAGATGCGCGAGGAAATCGCGTGGAATAGGTTGCTGGACACTTTCCGAGATGGGTGTCGATGCCTGTAGAGGGGGGATGGCGATTTTTCGATGCGCGCGGTGCCGGTTGAGATGGAGAGGTGAGGACAACGACAAGATTCATTGATGGTTGGTGCGGACTCTGTGAAACTGAGTCCCCGTAATTTTCAGCACCGCAACAAGTTGTTGCCTGAGGCGTCTACGCTAATCTGCTTATGTACAAGCGAGGGCGCTTGGGCCAACTCGTTCCCTGGTTTACTGCAGGCAGGCAGCGGCCGGCCTGGTCGGCCAGTGGTTGGCTTCGGGTACTATCCGGGCCACATGCGTGCCTCAAACCGTGGCCTGTCAGGTTCATCGGCCACCAAGGAATGCCAGATCCACGCCGCTTGGCATCTGTCGTCTTTCGTTTGCAGCAGCAAGGTGAAGAAAAATGTTTAGGTTGTCGGCGCATCGGAGGCGCGTCTTTCTCTCGTAGACCCCATACTATTTCCTCAGACGCGCGTTGGCTGAAGTGCCTAACCCGGGCCAGGCCGGGTGAGTTGGCCGTGGCGGGGACGTCCACACACTCCCGTTCTGCAAGTGTCAGCTGCTTCGCGTGTCTCCATGTTTGGGGGTTGCTCCCAGCGAAGCTAATCTGACGGAAAGATGAACAAGTGGAGAGATCCTTCCAGGAATGCAGGCCGAACGGCAGGCTTGCCATTTCCCTGGTGTTTCTCCCCGTACCCATATCCCAAATGCAACCCGGATTGATTAGCCAGCACTGCTCCAAACCTTCCCTCGTGCAAATCTTAGCTCATACTCTTGTCATGATTCCCCACGAATTCATACAACGAGACCCGATCGCAGCACCGCAAAATATTCACCGCTTGACCCTTTTCTTATCCGGCTCCCCTTCGTCGTCGCTCACATCCGCGTATTGAGTGACGGGCTGCGTCGTCTGCCACGCCGCAGTAAACATTGGATCTTTCTTTGCAGCATCGGCATATTTCAGCAGTGCCTCTCTGGGGTCTTCGTGAAGCATCTTGGCGAGAGGAATATTCTCTGCAATGTGCTTCTCGTCCGGCTGGTTTCGCATGAAAGGCGTTTGCTCCAAAACTGCTGGTCTTCGGGGATCCTTGGACTTGCCTGAAGCTGTGACTCCCGCATTTCTGCGGCCAGCCATTGAGCTTCCTGGTGTGATGATAGCATCTCCAGACATTCCCGTCGTCATATCCGTCGTTCGGGACGGATCGTCGTCGATGTGCCTCTTCTTTGGCGCTCGTGACATGACTTCCACAGCGCCCCGCATCGACATTGTCGGGCTGTAAAGCACATGTGTTTCGCCATTCGCAGACCCCGTGATGATCTGATTTATCTTGGGATGCCAGTCAACAGTGATGAGAGGTGCTCCGGGCGTAATTGGTGTGACATGTTCGGCTCTCAGATTTCCGGGGTTCAGAATGTGCAGGTCGCCTGTTGCGGAACCTGTCAAAATGCTGGTCGAGTTGGGAGAGTACCTGATGTTGCTCATCGGGAAGTGATCTAACGTCGAAGCATGGTCCACTGTGACAAGAGGCGTCTTGAATTTCCGTGTGTCCCACAACTTGATCGTATTGTCACCTCCGCGGGTGACGACCATGCGGCCGTCGGAGGAGATATCCACACCTCCGGTCCAGGTATCGGCTTTGTGGGCGTCTCGAATCTCTGCGGTTGGCCGAGAGAACGGGCTATTGCCGCTGTACATAACCAACGAGCCGTCTAGTGCGGCTGCGACCAACACGTTGTTGCCACCTTGTGCCGGCGCGCCCCAGGCAACCGCCGTCATCCTCGTTCGACCAGCAGATCCCGCCGCCTTGGACTTGAAGACAATCACGTCCCTCTGACTGCGCTTGTTGTTGATATCCCAGATTCTCAAGGTACTGTCGGTACCAGCAGTCACGCAAAGATTCTTGTCGGTCGGATGCCACGTTCCTGTGGTTACTTCTGAGATGTGCCCCTTGGTGTTGTTCATGTCCCTGAGGTACATGTCGCCCTTGACAAATTCGGTCAAAATGTCGCCGTCTCTTGACATAATCTTTGCCTGCGGGTGCGCCGATACGCAGAGAAACACGCTTCCAGCGAGAGGGTTGAACTCGACGTGGTGGATCGGGTGCGACTCGGCATTCGCGGCAGACGATTTCGCTTCCCATGGATCAACGCTTCGAAACGCTCGTAAAGTACTGGGTGTCATGGACGCGAAATCGTGCAAGTTGATTTTGCAGTCGAGTGAGGCTGACACGAGCCTTCCGCCTGCTGGGTCCAGCGTTACTGTGGTGACTGCTCTTTCGTGGGTTTTCAGCACCAATTCGTGCGAAACTGGGTAGTCTTCGCCATCTTCGGAGTCGTCTGAATCGGAGTCGTCGCTGTCACTGTCATTGTCTGAGTCGGACTTCTTTTCTTTGTGATCAGCACTTGGCGGACCTGCGGATCCCTCAATGGAAGCTCCTGTCGAGGGCTTCTCTGCCACTCTTCGGCTCCGATCGATCTGGGCGGCGATGTTGGCTTCCTTTGTCTTTTTCCCAAATGACGCCGGTAGGAACGCGCGCATAGGATCGTCTGCGGCCAGCTCGGGGCCTTCGACTACGAAGTCTTCGTCGTCGCTGCTCATTGTTGCGGACTCGTCGGAGATGGGAGGAAAAGGAGTGTCAGGAGGAAAAACTGCGAAAAGGTGATTGAGGTAGGGTCCCCAATTCTAGGTACGGAGGGTCCGAGAATCGTACACCAGATGGGGTGATGTCAGGCAGGAGCATTTGGGCAAGGGTCCTGCTACCCTGCCGCGCCTGCTTGGCCCGAAGTTTGCTGGCGCTATCCATAGCATCTAAGGTGTTGGTCATAGCGTCCAACGGCGTAATTCCTCTTCCACCTCTTCATGTACGAATACAATGAAACTTGCCTCGAGCCTCGGACCGGTGAATGAGCAAGTAGCTTCAATTTCTATTCAGGTAGGATGTATCTCCGCTACTAGGCTTCTTGCGTGTTTCTTCATACCAACAACATACGATCTTGTTCAACTACGACGCTTCGCTCCCAGTCTTGAATTGCATTCTTGGTCAAAATTCATGTAAAGTACAGAGAAACACACCATGTTTGCTGAAGCTGGTAACGTCTCTTGCTTACTATAGATGGCAAAGTATTATCTCGTATGAGTCCATCTGTCGATACTCGAACGCACCGGCTCCCGGCAGTCATCCAAAAGCCACACCCAGGAGCCCACTATGCCATCTCTATGCAACTCTAAGACGCGATCGCTGCGAGACGCTTAATCTCTTCCTGCTTCATCCGATCCTGAACCTTTAGCCTCTCTGGGATGACTTGCTCCCGTGGCGCCGTTATCTTCCATCCGGGCAGCGACTCGGCGCCCAATAACCTCAGCGTGGCCTGCTCCACAAGACTGTACGAGCCATCCGCCCTGTCAAAGACGTGAGGCTGGTTCAAAAAGACCGGTGGGTTCGTGATGATACGCAGCCGCCGCAGCGGGTTCCTCGAGGCGCTGTGGAGCATCAACGGATGCAAGAGATACACGTCGCCCACCTGCCCGTGAGCCTCGACAAACTCACCGCAGCTCCGCGCGAGCTCGTTGAACCAGTCGAGGTTCTTCTCCTTTGAGAAATCGGGATCGTTTCTGGGTACCATCCGCGGCGAAACCCCCTCCGTGTGCGCGTACAGATGCCGCGCAACGCCGGCCATCGCCTCGGGACAAATAAAGGTCCCGCCGCCGCCGGGGACAATGTCCGTGAAAAGCGGGATCACGAGCAGACCTTGCTCCGGGGAGTCAAGATAGTGGACGAAGAAGTCGCCGTCGACGTGCCAGATGCCCAGTTCCTTGGGGTCGGGCTCTGTTCCCTCGTATTCCTCGCTGCCCAGGTTGACGATGAGAGAGTCCCTCCACTCCTTTGACTCGGGTGCCACCCGGTCCTCGCCGCCACACAGCTCGCAGATGGCGGCCCATGCCTTGGGCGCGTATTCGGAAGCGTCAAAGGTGCGGTGATGGGGCATATTCGTTACTTGCTTCCAGGTTGACTTATCGTTGGGGTCCATGCCCAGTCGAGTCCAGACATCCTTGGTGACCCATTCTGCTTGTTCCTTTGTGAAGCAATTGCTCAGCTTCAACCAGCCTGTTGTTCTGAAGTGCTCCTTCTGGGCGTCGGTGAGTGGCTCAATGTTGGCAGACATGGCTGTGATGACAGTGAAAGGTATATTTCTGTCTTTGCCAGAGTGTCTAAGTAAGTGTATTTTGTAAATGAAAATAGACAGCAAGGTGGGGTGTATAAAGGTGCACTTGATTCTACTATGGTCAATTGAACGCCGACTGATTATTGAACCACGATCCCAACCAGAGATAAACTTCGTCTATTTATGTTTCGAGCCCAATGATGGGCAGTAATTCCGGGTATCAGTATTGACCACCGCTAAAGCTTCTATTGTGCGGGGAAGCTCAAGATCAAACACACGTAGGAGGATATGCAGAATAGATCGCCGACTCGGAAGGCGTGCCGGGAAAGAAACCTACAAGGCGTCAAACTACAACCCGCCGTGCCGGCTAAATTGATTTTATGGAGCCGGAGTCCGGCCTCCCCAAGTGGGTGATAAAATGGATTTCCTCTCATACGTCTTGAAGAAGTACCCATTTTACTACTCATATCAGAATTACGACCCTTCTCACGTCATTACCCTTCTTGTATACATAACAGAATATACTGTATCTCACAGATAGTAGTACTAGTGATAATAACAGTAGAAATGTTAGCGGTAGAAATTGCTTTGTCAGATGTGTTCGAGCGGAAATCGATTCTGTCACCCACTTGCTCCCCTACTGAAAATAACGGTATAGGTATACTGTGTCAATGATGCTTTCAACCGGATAAAACCAAGGGCGTCGAGGGATCTGGCAGTAGGTGATGGATGGTGGGGGTAACGCCCTCTGATTGGACACAGACCACCCTTCACCGAGCGCCTTCGGTCACGATTGCGCCGATAACAGCCGACCGAACTTTCTCAGCCATGGAAGTCACTTGCTCGGACGCGACTCTCAACTTCCTCCAACCCACGTCAGCCCCCACCTTAACCTCAAAATATGCCTCCCGATCCGACCATAGACGACGAAGAGTACGAGTCCTCCCAGGACTCGGACTTTGCGCCTGAAGACGCAGCCGCAGCCGACGATGGCGCCTCCGAAGCGTCCGATTCCGAGGCCGACGACGGCGAAGACGCAGCAAAGACAACGACCAAGCGCAAGCGCGATGCCGGCGGCGACGAGGCTGCAGACTTTGAAAACTCGGGTGATGAGGCCCTGATTAAGAAGGCAGCGAAGAAGAAGCTCAAAAAGGCAGCGAGGGATGCGGCCGCTGCCCTGGCCCTAGGCGAGGATGACGAGGGAGGCGAAGGAGGGTTGGTGAAGACGCGGAGTATGCGGGCTGCAGAGTGAGTGGACACACCCTTTTCCTTCCTGGCTTCTACCAGGAGTCGCTGACGGTCTGTGTCACAGAAAAGAAGAGCGCAAAGTCGCGGCCGCATCTGGCCCTGTAACGGTCGACGTCGATGCCCTTTGGGCACAAATGCTCTCCGGTCAGAAGGCGACAGTAGCACCAACCGGCGAGAACGAAACCGGAGGCGGAGGAGAAGCCGATGCCACGCCCATTGCCGCGGCACCTGACACGAGCAAGCCAGACGAAGCCCAGGCAGGCGACCCATCAGACACGATCCGCATCAAGCGAACCTACAACTTTGCGGGTAAAGTCCACACCGAAGAAAAAGTCGTAGCACGCTCCTCAGCCGAGGCAAAGCTCTATCTCGCCTCCCTCGGCAAGGACGCCGCCGCCGCGGAAGCCGCGGGTGCAGACGCCGACAACGAGGACGGCGAACCGAAACGCGTCCTCAAGAAGGCGTTCCGCTCGGCCTTTGAGCCCGTCATTGAGATTGTCAGCCAGCGCTCGGATCTGAACCTCGGCATGACGGTGCGGATCAAGGCGAGGGAGAAGGAGGCGCAGGCCAAGAAGCTCAACACCGTGCAGAAGAGCAAGATGGACTGGGCCGGGTTCGTTGACAAGGAAGGGCTCAAGGACGAGCTCGAGCTGGCGGGCAGGGCCAAGGGGTCGTACGCCGAGAGGCAGGATTTCCTGGCGCGCAGCGAGGCCAAGAGGGAAGACGACGCGCGGCGGGCGAGGATGGCTGGCCGTGTGCAGTGAAGTTTCTTTTGCGTTGTCATGTTGTTGTTCATCACTCTACGTGGCTTCACAGGGATCTTGGGTATTGGATACGGTTCGGCGTTTTATTCATGGAGATAACAAAAGAGATACCCCCTAAACAAATTACAGACATAACTTATACAAGACCAGACTATAGCTTCGCAGCCGCCTTGCCTCCAGGTGGCAAGATGGCAATATCCTGGTAAGGGACGCCCAGATACTCGTAAATGAAGTGAAATCTATCGCTGCCGAAGAACGGCTCGCCCTTACCCTGCTCGTTCACAGCCCAGAACCACGGTGCGCCAAACGCGCCATAATCAATCGCCTCCTGCGTCTTAGCCTTGACCGAGTCCTTGATCTCCTGCGACCCGGCCCCTTGCAAGATCCTCTTGACGTCCGCCTCACTGAACAATCTCTCCTGCGTGTTGCTGCCGCTGGCGGGAGGCGGGTACTGCCTGGGCGCGTCCGCAATCGCTTTGGCCAGGACGTCGGGCTTCGTGAGATTGAGGTTGGGCGGCTCCCAGAAGCAGTGGAGGAACCAATGCCACGCCGTCTGGTACGTGGCGTCTGGGTAGTTTGCTTTGATGAAGTGCAGGGCGCGGAGGGGGGCGACTGTCATGCTTCGCTCCATGAAGCTCTCGGGCGTGGTGATGCCGGGCTTGCCTGCTCGGGCGGAGGAGCGGCGGGCGTCAAAGGTGCCGTACTCTGCCTTGGCTGGAAGTGTCCATGGTGGTTTGTTTCCTGTGCGATGAGTGAGTTGAATCATGATATTCTTAAGATACTTGGATAAATATACCTGAAGCAGCGTTGATGGCGCCAAGGAGAACAGGGTGAATCCTAATGGGGTATGTTGGTGAGTGACTGTAGTTGAGAGGGTCATTTAGTAGGCCAAGGAGACGAACTCTATTTGGACTCCGTGGGCTGTGAGAAGTTCCTGGTTGTTTATAATATGAGTGAAGGCGATATAACTATACAGCGATGCTGATGACTATCATCAGTAAAGCCCTTCGATCCTAAGAATACCTAGTAATCTGTGAGACTCACCAATGTCTATGTAAGCATCAATCTTGCCGCCCATCTTGGCGGTACTCGGAATCAAAAGTCGTAACGATATTTGTTATTGGGCTTATTGACGGACAAGAACGTAATAATCTCCGTCGCACACTCGATGGCGCAATCTTTGTAGTAAATGTTGAACCAAGGTTGATCAAGACAAGTTGATGAAGTGGACTTGAGGTGGATGGTGTGGGGAACCTCGGCACAAGCCAGTGGGTGTCTGGGGTACGGATAAAGCTCCAGCAACTAAGCTTCAAGCTCAATCGGGGAGGATCACTAATACACGTTCACGTACCGAGCCCCGACGGCATGTGTACGAGGTCTCATATTGCCTTGCGCAACTCAAGGCTTATATACTGTGTTGCGCTACGATATCTAAGTTGACGTGGATTCTATGACTTGATAAAACATCATATCTGAAATACTTTTCGTCACGTCACATGCTTGAGAATCCCACGGTCACATCCCACACGTAAAGAAGAACACACACTCGATACTTCTCTTATTATTCACACACACAATGGGCGAAGCCAAGCAGGTAGCTCTGGTAGTCGGTGCTTCCAGAGGCATAGGCCGACAAATCGCCATTGACCTCGCGAAGAGTGGTTATGCAGGTACTGCCAATTCCCCCTGTCTTGTCCATTGAAAGGATCGAGTAGCTTACGCTTATTACCAGTCGTCGTTGCTGCAAAGACCACCAGCGACGCATCCAAGGCAAACCCCTTCCCACCGAATCCCAACTCGAATGATTCAACCATCAGCACGGTAGCCCGTGAAATCCACGAGGCCGGCGGCGACGCAACGCCCATTGCTGTCGACGTGCGAGACCAAGACAGCGTTACACGGCTCATCGAACAGACGATCAAGGTATCCATCCATCAGACTTCTCCTCGTTGTACCAACAGTGATCCGTTCCTCACCTCGCATTCACCCCCCATATATACACACTGACAAAACCTCCTTCCCCAGATCTACGCCCACCTCGATGTCCTAGTCTACAACTCGGGCGCAATCTGGTGGGCCTCGGTCGAAGACACGCCCCCCAAACGCTTCCAGCTCATGCAGCGCGTGAACCCAGAGGGCCTCTACTTGACCCTTCACACCGCGCTCCCGCACCTCAAGCGCCAGCGGCGCGGCCGTATCGTCGTCGTCAGTCCGCCCATCTACAGCCGCTTCTTCCGAGGCAAGACGGCCTACGCCATGGGCAAGGTCGGCATGAGCGTCTTGACAAAGGGCCTGGCCATGGACCTCGTCCGGCAGGGGTTGGATGACATGGCCATTACGAGTATCTGGCCCGCCGCGGTATGTTGTCTTTTTCTCTATTCTTCCCTTATTCAATCTTCTTTTCTGAAAGAAAGCATGCTTCTTGGTCTCATCAATATCCGATGAATAAGCCCGGTGTCTCCAGTCATGTTCAGCATACGTCAAAGTCCCACAAACTAACAAGAGCCCATCGCAGGCCATCGAATCCGCAGCAACCCAAAAATTCCAAGCCGCCAACGCCGACGAATCAAAGGACCTGCGCAAGCCCACAATCTTCTCCGACGCCATCCTCGAGATCCTGCGCGCCCCCGCGTCAAAAGTCAACGGCGAGCTCGTCCTCGACGAAGACTTCTTGCGGGACCACGCCGGCGTCACGGACTTTTCAAAGTACTCTCTCGTCCCCGGGTCTGAGCCGCGGAGGATTATGCCCGCGGAACTGCCGGATCTGCGCGTCAAGGAGCAGGACGACGAGGGGAAGAGGTATGATAGCGCTAAAGCCAAGCTTTGAAATGGAGGGAGTACGTTGCGTTAGCTGTCTTGTATGCAAATATGATGTTTTCGTGAGAAACATGATTTTGCTGTATCACTTTGATTTTGAGATTGAAGGCATGTAGCGTTGTCGACGTATGGAAACCAAGTGCCTGAACCGGAGAGATCGACCAAGTCATGCCATTATCCTCTTCATGACAGTCGAACGCAATGCACAGAAAAGCTTCATCAGGAGGCGCAGTGCGATGCAATTTTGTCTATTGCCTACCCCATGCTACACAGAGTAGGATGCGGTGGATTCTCAATATAATGCACTTTATCACAAGAAAAAGGGGGTCATCCCGTCGCTCACAAATTAGACCATTGCCGGTTGCCCTCCCCTCCGGCTCCAACCCAACCAACCAACCACACTCCACCGTCGACCTGTGTTTTCCGCCATGGGTGCCGGAAAAGAAAAAGACTCAAGACAGTGGAGGAAATCAAAAGTAATTCAAGGAAACGTGCTATGGTACAAGTCGTGGGGAGCATTTGCTGTCCGGCTCCGCATGTCCCCTCTTTTATGCTTGCTGGCTCTGCTGGAACAAGCCCTGGATGCTCTCAATGTCGCTAATGGTCTCGTTGAACACGTTGGTCAGGTCGCCGAGCACCTTCATGCGGTTCCACTCATGCCTCGTGTTCCAGATCTCGTCCATGAGCTCACGGTTGATCTGCTCCAACTGCTCAATAGTGCACCCTGATGTTCTCTCCGTCAACTCGTCCAGGAATTGCTCGACCTGGCCCTCATGGATGACGGGCTGCTGCTGCGAAGATGACGAACCAGAATTCCTGATGTCCTCGCTTGTTGAGTCATTGAGAATATTGACCAAGGGCATGACGTGCTTCGAGTCTCCTGAGCTCCTAGACTTGTTGGGAGATGATGTCTGACTGCCAGGCGGGTGAATGATCCCACGCGCCATGCCATGAGCTTGGGAGTGTGGCCAAGCTGCGTCGCTAGAAGTGGCCTGGCTCACAGGATCCATACCGGCAGGGATCTGGGTATCTTGCAGCTGCGAGTTGTCGCCTTGGCTGGATTGATCTGGATGGAACCCGTTTGTCGGTCCTGTCGCTTGCGTGCTCCACTTGTCTGTCGATCTGTCCGATGGATCTGACGTCTTGGTGGTGGAAGCGTCGTTCACAATTGCAGAAGGCGACATGCCCGGGGGCACTGTGGTGATGACAGATCTTTGGGATACCTGTGTAGCCCCAGTTGTCGCGTTTCCTTGAGGTGGCCATTGAGGCGGCGGCTGCATGGAGCTGTCCTGCGTCGTGTCGTCGTCCGCGCCGCTCATGTGCACGTCGCTTTGCCGAGAAGGGTTGGACGTGCCGTTACTTTGCTGATGGGATCCCACGCCGCCACTCGGTCCCGGGCTCATGACCTGGAAACGAGCCATGGCATGACCAGACCCAGGAATCTGCTCGCCCAAAGTAACCGGCCCTTGCGAGTCGCTGTCGTTACCGCCACCCACATCGCCTTGAACTCGATCGAGAACAGACTGAAGCGCCTTCTTCTTCCTCGCCTTCTCAGCTTGGACCTTGGCGCGTTGAAGCTGTCTCTGGTGCAACGCCTCCCAGTCCACAGTGCTGGTGTTACCCTCAATCGTCGCGACGTCGACTTCGACATTGCTGACAAGCTCGTTTGCCTTGAGCGTCCGCTCTTTGTCGCCAATGTTCTTGGCATCTTTGGCAAGCGATTTGATGTCCCGAAGGAAGTCTTTTGGTCGACAGTAAAAGCCGTTCGACAACCTCTCCTCAATGGTTGTCGTTTCGAGGTTGTAGAAAGTCTTGCCAGAAATTGTCTCCCGTAGCACATCAACATCGTACTTATCCTTCACAATCTCGAATGGCCGATGCTCTATACCCGCTACGTCGGGGCGGACATAGTTGGGATCTTTTTCGAGGAAGAGGTAATCCAGCTGGCCGGGGGTAAGGACGGGCTGTCTGAACTTCTTGTACTTCCTGTTGATCTGGTCCATAATTGGCTGCAGTTGCACCTTCAAGATATTGAGCAACTGGTGATCGCGTTTCTGCATAGCCTTGATCTCTTCCTTGGTGGGCACTTTCGGTGGCGGCGGCGGAGCAACGGGGAGCTCCTCCAAGACTCTCCTCTTCCGATTGGCAGGATCAGGGAAGTCAGCCGGACTCTTGCGAATATGGTCGACAATGGAAGCAAAATATTCCCGCCGATTTGACTAGTAAGATTAGCAAAGAGATCACCACAAACCTCCATCTATTGTACTTACATGCTTCGGCCGCTGGATCTGCAATCGGTTTTTACGGGAAAAGGCAAATAGCTCGCGG